CGTTTGAACCCATGTGTGAATAGAGCAAGTCACTTTCTGGAGAATTCACAGCGATCGATAAGCATGTTGACGACATCTCATCATGTGACTGCTGCAAAACCGGAACAATACAAACATTCATGGGTGATTTCCGCAGAATACTTTTTACGTCATGTCTCCCTCCTCCTGCAGCAACCACTCAGGTGAAGGTGAGATTCCATTCTAGCTATGGTATTTCAGTACTGCATTCCTCTGTGTGCCTGCCCCAACAAATTGGCCCTTTTACTACAAAACTCAGCTCCCACATCCAGTCAGAACAGGCTTCAGCAAACCAAACAGTCCTCAGCTGAGCCAACAGCTGTTCCTTTTTGATCTGTAAAGCACAGTAAGGACAGAGCAAGCAGATGACACAGTGCATGTTAATCATTATGCCCATCCATGGAAGAGTATTTCAACAAGTGTCTTTATTCCACCTAAATACTGGTGTCTGAACAGAATGCTGGTCTAACTTGAAAGTGAATGACAACTGCTGTAAGCTAGGTATTTAAAAGTGTTGCAAGAAACCAATCCCAAAGCCTCGAAGAAGAAAGTCTCTGCATGTCAATCTATTGTCTCATGAAGTTCAAATGTATAGGGTAAACCCACATTGAATCATGCTGTGCATCTTGTGCATAAAACATTCATGTTGCACTTCTGTCCACATCTCATCAGTTACATTGTGTCCCACCGGGAGTTTTATCTTTTAAACAGCACCTGCAGATAAATCACTGACTTGGGGTGTGACCACAGGTGCGACGTGCAGAAGCAGCTTCCTGCTCTGTGATTCAACTCCTATCTACCCTTTAACTTTTTTTCTTTTAGGATCAACTCAGTATTTTAAGCTTTCCATACCCACGATGCCACCTGTAAGTTGTTATTATCGCTGACTGCAGCCCCATTTCTGTGCATTTTCTGCCTTCCTTAATCCCCTTATCAGCATTTCTCTTTTTTGGCCCCTTTCCCACTCTCTCTTTTGCTTTCTGTCAAACACTCTCCTCTTCTCTCCCTCTCTGGCTCCAGCTGTCCCTGCTCATTGACGGCTCACTTGCTCAGCCTTCCTCTCTAAAATACTCCCGTTCACTCTGAGCCAAGAGGCCCCTGCCACTAGCAGTCCATTAACCACTCCAGTTTCACGCTGGCACCCAGTCATCCTATTCTTCAGCTCACAGTATGATCTTCTTCCCCTGAGATGTAGAGAACAGGAAACTGTGTGTCTAGGTGCGTGTGTACTGGGGGAACAGAACACACATAAATAAAAATAAAAAAGGGCAAAAGGAGGCCTACTGTGCAACTTAGCAAATTTTTAACTACTCTACTTGACTCGGACTACTTGAGTCGGACTGTGTGAATAAAGAGTTGTGATCTGACTGGCATAATTCATGGCGTTATCTTTAATTAAGCATTTGCTGAGGTGGTTCCCCCAGGAAGTTGGTGCACTGCTGCACAAAGGCACATGCAGGCACAAGATTTTATGCTTGAAGGAAGGTTGCACTTATCTTTGCAATTAACCAGACCTTAAATGATGAACACCAACATGTCAAACTGCTTTCAGCACTTAATCCCATGCTCACTGGCGACGACTTGAGCAACAGCCCCCGCTAGAACACTGAATTAAAGTCAGACAAACCTTGCCACATCATTTTAATTGATGTTTTTGGTTCTTTTTGTTGTGACTGTGGGTTTCCTCTGCAGATGCATTACTTGTGGTGGCTGATATATAGCGATATGTGCTCTGTATCGAGGCACTAAAACTGTGAATCTCTGTGCACTAGCTAGAATACAATTACAAAAGGATTATGCATCTAAATGTTTTATTTCTCCACACTGGCAGTATCATAGTTATTAATGTCATAAACAACTCAATTGAAATCACTTCTATGCTGAGGTAGGTAGGCTGAGGTTGCATGCATGAGCAAGTCAGAATAAGACAAAAATGCTGCTTAAACACTTGCTTGAGGGTCCTCTGTTTGGTATCAACTACAACAGCGTGGCCTTCAAGTTCCAGGAAAAGAGCACAATGTGCATCAGATTTGCAATGTGTGTGTACTGCAAGCCATCATCTTATGCTGAGCTCATACAGTAAGGGGAAGTGCCATGAAGTGACAAGATGTCAATTTTCGTGCGAGGAGCAGCCTGTATTTTCACACCAGAAGCACACTTCTCTTCTGCACGCCAGTCAACAAGTGATTCTGCTGCTCTGCTCCTTTCTAAACACACTTAGAGCAGATCTTAACGAACAGCGGTGGTACTAGTTCTAATAATAGTGGACTGGAAGGAAAGGTGGGAAAATCAAAAGGGTTGAAAAGCATAAGATGCATAGTTTATCATTTATCAGAACCAGATCACTTATATCATATATGAGTCACATCATTTGTAATAGATGATCAGTGCCACATTCACTTGCAGCATGCAGAGAAAACAGACCAGACGCCAGACCTACAGCTTCAGATCGCAAGTGCTCCTCTGTCTCAAAATGATTCATTTGATCAGTATTATAAAACTGACAATATAAAATGTCAATAACTAGTAAATAACCAATCAGGCTCAGAGTAATGCAAAGATGTCCCAGAGGCCCCAAAAGAACATGCTCCAGTTACACAACTCATTCCAAATATTGGTTATTGTGTCTTAATAACTAATATTCCTTATCAGGGCCTGGGGGGAAATATTCCTACAAAAAAAAAAAAAAACAGATAACCTGCTAAACTCAAGATGTCCCAGAGCCAGAATCTGTGATCTACAATTCACCTTGTATCCCCAACAACTGTCCACGGCAGTGATCCCTGGCTAATCCACGCTGCGCCTGCCTGCTGAGTTGAGCCAGCCTGTTTATGTCAACAGCATTCATGGATGCTGATCCTGTCTGTCTCTCTGCGCCTGAAGAACACAGACAGCACTTCAGGGAGCACAGCTAAAATGACCTGCATTTGGCTTCAAACAAAACAGACGGATCACCCTAAGCTACAGGGATACCTGTAAGCACAGCAAATCATGTTTCACATTCCTGTGAAACAGAACTAGAGGTTACATGCCAAAAAACAACCAGTGTGTGAACTGAGGCACAGACACAGTCTGACAGGGGTTGGTGTTGGGGTTAGGCAACATTTGATGCACTGTTTGGTGACGGTGCAGACTATAAAGGGACAAGATCTGTCATTAATTCTCCATGCTGCAAAAAGCCATAGTACTAGTCTGAATGCCAACCCAGTTCACTGGCATTATTCAAACACACTGTACTTAAAACATCATCAATCCTGTCTCAGATTCAGCAGAAAAGGTGACTGTGTCTAGAAAAAGAGACTAAAACTGGATAACCCACCCACACTGCTTTATTCAGTCCCAGATGAGACAATGGAGAGACATTTAGGACAACACGGATGATTTTGAGTCGGAGTCCGAATAATGACAGGGAGACCACACGAGTGTCATTAAGTCGTACACGTTGCATTATGTTATTATCTCCGGTACGTCCACGGAGAGGCAAAAGCGGAGAGCGATAAAGTCACAGATAACTTAATGCCACAGACAAGATACTGGAGATGAGACAATGTCACACTGTAGCTCAAGCATGCCATCCATAATTCTACACCCCTTCACCTCTTTCTGAACTCTGACTGTGCTGTAACAAAAATCTACCAGAATGGACTCAAATGTCAGAGTCAGTCGTGTGCTGAGTTCAAGGACAGACCTCCCTCATAGACGTGCACTCACCCTCGAACACTGACTCATGTGTGCAATGTTATCTCGGGACATTGCACAATTGGTTTCTGTCTGTGACTCATGTTTACTTTTAGCCCTACCTAAAACTGAGCGCACATTGACACTACTGTCATATTGTGCCATTCGTTAGAAAACTTAATTTATTGTCAACCTCCTACAACTACTTCCGGCTTACATGCCCAGGTGGTCGCATCCACATGAACAACAACAAAAAAACAGAACAAACCGTATGTAACCGGGTGTGTTCATTCCTGCCAGCAGGATATATAAAACACCTTGTGGTTTAAATGAAGGTGGCTTCTAACTGGGACCACTAAAGGGCCTGAAAACTCCCTGAATGTAAGTGTGCATGAGGAATTGTTTACTCGGTGAACAGATGTGCCTTCTCTGCATCCTCTATGGTTACCGTTTGTCAGTGTGCGCAATATCAGTTTTCACCTGTTGCTAGACACGGCCAAGGGGTTAAGTTACGCAACAGTTTTTACCGGCGGATGACAAGCGTGGCTACTGATGACTCCTCCAGCTCTGCTCTCCTGGAGACGCCACACTGAATCACACATGCTGACACAGCCAGGTAGACACCACATGATGTCATAGTGATTAAGGCTTCTTGAGAAAATTCAACACGCCAATGCCACACCTTACCGTACAAAGTTTCATCTGTCTCTTAGCAGGTTTTTATTTTATAGAATAATAAGAACTTTATTTGTATAGCACTTCTAAAAACATGGTTTACACACAGCGAGAATACAATTTACAATTCCAAAGGACGATAAAATAAATTGCAAGAAATATGAATATAATAGTGTTTAGAATAAATATAGTAGTCCTCTATGTAAATAAAAAGTCAATCATAACTTATCATACAGTATGTGGTTGTAACTATGGTTGGTACAAATAAAATAAAAATAAATAAAACCAGTCATCTGTAATTTGTGAGCACTGCATAAGTTCAGCTCTATTGCACATTACAAGTCTTGCAAGTTGGAGGGACTGCTACTTCCTCATATGTTGACACCGACTTTGACCTGAATCATGAATCCTACTGGGTAACCTTTCCAGCTCTACTGGCAGCTGCTGCACAGCTTTAAGGAGGTGAAAGTAACTCCAGGTATGGTGGCAGTTTGTTGCTTTGTAGCTTCACTTGAAACTCGGGAGGAAGAACGTGTAGGTTAACCATCAGTGGAGTTGTGTGCTACACTTTTAACCCCACGTACCCGAGCATCATAAAAGTGTTAAAGTTAGACCTGTGGGATACTCACAAATTTCTTTTTCCCGTCTCCATCCTCATAGTTCTTCTTTGATTTCTTGTCCTTCTTGGGACCAGCAGCAGCGGCAGAATTCCCCGTGGGGGGATCCATATTTATAATTTAATCCGTTTCCTTGAATTGTGTGTCAGAATAAACCTTTGTGGCGGTAATATCCCCCGCACCAAAACGTAAAAAAAAACCCAAAGCAAATGTTTCCTCCGACGATGTTTCTTAACTTGAGAAAAAGCCAAACGTTAATTCAATTGGGCCTAAGCTAGTCTACTGGCTAACTAGCCACAATTAGCAGTGTTGCTAGTGATTTGGTAGAAAGCCAACTATACCGAACAAACCCCTCGCTAAGCCGCCTGTATGTCTCACTGAAGGAGGGAAATTCAAAGCACAGCCCCAAGTCCTCGGGACGAAAAGTACGAGGACAGCCTGTTGCTTTTATAAAACACAAACGAGTACTTTATTCTAACAGTCTCAACGTGTAACACACACCGAAGCTTTAACAATGTGAACTTCAAGTCTCCAAAGTATGAGGTTAACTAACTGTGCTAACGTTAGCTTTAGCTAGCCTAGCTCGCTTGGCTACAGTTAGGGTAAAGTCTCCGTAGGAAGAAAAAAAAAAAGGAAAACAAACTCTTCCCACTTTCACGAGTTGTTTCGGCGACCACAACACGGGCGACGGGTTGGTGTTACGGATGACTTGGCCCGAGCGCGTCTCCTAAATTAGTTTCCATGACTGCTACAAGTTTAGTTAACTTTTTAACCCCTAAATGACAGCGGGGAAGCGATTACGGCTTTAGCTCTAGAGCAGTCTTCCTGTTCTTCTGACAGTGCGGTCAGAGCTGCTCGGGGAGGCGCCTGCGCCCTGCGACTACACCTGAGAGGATTTAACTGACACTTCTGACATGACTGTACAGATCTGTGGGCCAGAGATCAGCACAGCTCCACGGAGGAGTCACACGGTTCAACCCTAACATGAGTAGTAGTTCAGTAGTCTGAATAATAACTATATAAATTGTCCAAAATCCCGTTGTGTGGCGTTTCCATGGCATCACTGTTCATGACTTGTGTTTAGAACTATCCCAGGGATGACGTAACAGCGAATAGCGCCTATGTCATATTCTAGAACGTTCATTCCACAAGAGGAGAAGTATAAAGCGTCCTGTTCTAGAATGTTCATTCCACAAAGAAGAGGAGTTTAAGTTTAAAAGGGTCAGTTTATACATGTAAAATGAGAGGTGTAGTAGAATAACCCACCAGCAGCAGGCAGCACAGGCCAGTGTATGTGTATATACACAGTGCACAACTACTGGCAGGTAGTAATCTCTCTGCACTGTGGAGTTCTCAAGTTAACAGTGCAAACGGTGGCAAAGCGGGTCTCCAGGGGCAGTATTGTTTTATTCATCACATTTAGCATTAAAAGCTACAGCCATAAGAGAGAATGCATTGCCTGTAATAAAAGACTGCTGGAGTGTAATTTATCATACAGCCCTTGCCACCGTTCCTTACTGTCTCTCTGTGACACACATTTTCTTCTCCTTTACTCTTTAAGTTTAGATGTAAGATTGACCAGAAAAACCTCCACTCAGACATCTAAGGTTTCACTCCTAGATATCATTACAGGCAGTTCATCTTATCTCACATATCACACACAACCTTCCCTTCCTTATTGAAGGAACAAGACAAGTGGCGCTGCCTCACTTCGGTTTCTGTTTTCTGCAGGTGTTTCTTTGTATTGCGTTAAGGTGATGTTTCAACATGTGTGGTTTAGGCACTTTGCCATTTTATACTGTAATAATCATACTGTGCAAACAAATAATTAGACTTTGGGCGCCACCAAGCGGTGGAAGGCGCTGCGGTGTTACCACAGTTAATACAACAGGAAGCAATTGGGATGTAGCTCACTTTTAAATTGTTCTCTAAAATTCACAACATTCACCAATGCAATTTGCACTGGATGGCGGTTGGGGTTGTGGTAAAAATATATTAAAATGTAGAAGGCAATTAAAGCAAATCAAGAAGCTATATAGCCCATTCTTCTAAATGATGCTGACTAAATTGACTCAATTCTTAGCCGAATGTCTTCCAAAAACAGCATGTTTTGGTTTAGGGGCTGCGTAATTTTAAGTCCAACACTCCAGGCAGATGTGGCCTTCTGTCCTCCCTTGCAGTGTCTCATCTCAGCTCCACTTAGATCCACAAGATAGTTTGATTACAGACAACAATAATCACTGTGTTTAGTTCATCAGGGGAATTTTACATCTCAATAGAAGCTAGAGTCATCGGATGAAGAGTCGGGGAATTATTGGACTCCAATTAAATTTTGAGATATATTGTCTAATTGGCCCTAAACTGCAGTGTTTCTCTTACCTCTTAGCCGTACCTGTGTGCACACACACACACTCACATACACAAACAGAAACAGGATTACAGAGATAGCCTCATCTGTCTGTCCTGGTATGTAAGAGATGTTTTCCGACAACAAGATTGGAGAGGATTTGCGCACCACCGGTGGCACTGAAACCGACAACAGTTTGGTTTATCGCACAGGTCTCATCATAAACTTCAGCCTCGAGTCTTCATTCTCCGGGATATTGGCGCTATAAATTGTGGGGGAAAGGTTAATTAAAGTGAAAGTGCATGATAAGGCTGGCGGCCCTGTGGCACTTGTACGCACGTATTATATGATTAACAGCTGGTCCTTCACATCAGCAGCTGCAGCATCATCTTCAGCGGCTTTATTCATAAACAGGAGGGTAGACGAAAAGACTGCCACTTCCAAGTATACATTTGAATATCTTTATATGCATATAGGCCTACAGTCTGTCATTTAATCACCATTTTACAACGGACAATAGGGTGGAAATTGTGTGGTGATTGCATTATTTCACAAGACAAAACAGTTAAGTTACAGATATACAAAATATTTTATATACAAACTACTGTAGACTCTTTCAAGTCACGTCTCCATTGGGGGGGGGGCAGCTTCATGTTGTCCGGGCCAGCGTGGAATACTGTGAATTAGAACCCCAAACCTCGGGGTAAAATGTTTAAGCAACTACTAACACAAGCTTTGGACAGTGTAAATGAATCAACCATTCGTTTCCAGAGTGCAGTGCGGGGGCCACAAGGGGGGGTTGGAGGGGATGGTGGATTTCCTTCATTAATCACCAGGAAATATATGAGTCACTAATCTGATCGGGAGGTATTCTGCTATCTCTCCACCTGCAGTAGCCCCATACACACCACTCATCTCCTCAAACGGCTCCCGGTGGACCGAAGTGCTATTTCTCTGGAATGGGGCTGGCGGTGGGCCTTGAAGAGACAAATGTGGGCAACATTTGGCGTAAATTACGCTCTGACTAATCATGTTAGGTTTTGTGGGGGGGGGATTCCGGGATATTTAGACCTTCCGGCGTGTCAGAGACAGCTAATAAAGGCAACAACTTTGTGTCCAGTACGTGCAGCAGCAGTTCAGAGGTGAAGTCAGTCCTTAACCCACCACGGGAGTTTCACTAGAGACCCAGATATTTGCCCTGGTGGTCTGGGCTACTTATAGGAGGTCCTGGCCTCTCTCAGCGACCTATCATATGGCATGGAGGCGAAGAAAGAGTTCCGGAGCTGACAGTTGATGAAGAACACAATGAGCAGCACCAAGAGTAAGAGCAGTAGGCACATGACTATGTAGGTGATCAGGTCCGGTTTGTGGAGCTCCCCCTCCCGAAGCCCCCCTCCCCCTCGCCCCGTGGTGGGTCTCAGGAGAGCGGCCACGCTCACCGAGCCGCCGTGGGAGGCGTTCAGGGAGGAGGGGGCATGCGTGGAGGACTGGGCCATGAGCACCAGGTCGAAGTCTGGGGTGTCGGTGGAGTTGAGGAGGATCTGCCTCAGCATGGCGCCTCACGGGCTCACCGGCTGCGTCTGTCGGCTGGAGGATGAAAAGACACGAAGAAGGTTATAGCCTTTATGCCCTTTCCTGTTCAGCCTGGGGGTCCTATCGGTCTGGTGCAACAACATGATCAAAAAAGAACCAGGAGTGATTCCTGTGTGACAAAAAACAGCCTTAAAGGATGGGGATATTAAAAATCTAATGATCCCAAAACAGGTTACCTTAATGTCTGACAAGGTCAATTATAAACTCAATGCAGTGGCACAGATAATCTGCACTGAATGTACAAATCACGTCATAGTGATGCCATAAGTGATCATGAAAACACCATAAAGTAGGCTGGAGTCAGCGTTAAGCCTACAAACTACAGATTCCAAGAAATCAATGCAGGTTTAATGAACCAAAGCACATGGTTCTTTGTCAAGGAAATTACTTACTTTGGTGTGCGCTGGGAAGAGTCCCGCAGGTGAGCTGGAAAAGACAAAATCGCGGCTCCGCATTCCTCGGCGTCTCCGGCTCTGTCTGCTCCAGCCCCGCCGAGGACGCGCTGTGGAGACGCGGTGGGTCGATAGCTTTAAACCTGCGCCCACAGACCATATGTCGCTGAGTGGGATATTAAAAGAGGCGCCTCCCGTGACATGAAATCGAACTGATCAAACCAAACGTGTCAGCGCAGATCAGGGTCCTAGTGAAAGGTTACCAATTCCACTTGTTGGCGTTTAAATCCAAGTCGTCCTGCCGCGCGTATGGCTTACGCTCAGGGTGCGTTATCGCAGGCTACTGTAGCGATATCCAAAATGACTCTAGGGTCTTTCGGAGGTGGTGAAGTTCAACGGTGATCGCTGGTGCGCACACATGTTTCCTTGTGCGTGTCGTGGTGCGCAGAACAAGATCGCCTTTGCCCGTGCGTACTGGACGCAGCTTTGTTTGTTCTTTTATCCAGTAAAGGGTCGATACGAGAGGCTACCGTCAGACTGCCCTTACGGGATTATCTTTTCACTTTGAATTAAATGAGACTAAAGGAGGGATTAAGGACGAAACACAGCAGTACACCGGTTGGTGAACAGCTTCCCGTCCCCATCCTGGGTTGCTTGTGTATGACAGCGGGAAAGAAGAGAGAAGGAGAGAAAGAGAAAGAGAGAGAAAGAGAGAGAGAGAGAGAATTGCAGATCAAGAGAGGGGAAGGAGGGCGCTGGAGGCACGTCACCGGACAGGGATGTGTGTTACTGTAAAGAAAGAGTTTATCTATCTATCTATCTATCTATCTATCTATCTATCTATCTATCTATCTACAGTATCCCTCATATGGTTTTCGAATGATGAGAAAAAGTTGACTCTGAGCCATTTCTGGGCCAGTGTGGGGAATGTCTCACACTGGGGTGATGAGAGAACAGGAAAAGGTGTGAGATTGGTGAGTGTGTGTAAGAACTCATAGGGGTGATTAAATTTTGAGAAAAGGTCTGCAGGTAGTCTATTGTCTGAGTCTCAGTGGCCGACTAAATGCTGGATATCAGTACATTTCCTTTAGGAAGAGCAACACAACTGCCCTTCCACCTCACACAGCCCGGTCTGTGTGTTTAGAACATAAATGTGTTTGCGCTCTGTGAAACAGATTTGACATTGGCGCTACACACTAAAAAGAAGCTGCTAAAGATGGAGATTGGAAACAGTTTGCTCTTACATGATGCTTCAGAACTGAGCATGCATAGAAAGGGCCAGACCCTAAAAGCTCTGCCGGTCTGTTTCATATTCATCTGCACCTGTTCTGTCACAATGGCTGGTAGACTTAGAGGGCAAGGACAGAGGGACACACACACACACACACACACACACACACACATATTGCAGCAAAAATACTGTAAACCGTCCCCAAGTTGGAGAATGAGTTTGATGCCACATATACACAAACAGACATTAAAAAGTTTGAGGCAAACTAGTCTACAAATATCAGACAAATACCTAGCAGTGTCCTGGTGTCCCACATCAGCTTTGTATTCCACAATA